ATTGGTCAAGCTCACTGCATATTCCCCAATCTTTATATATAATAATGTATTTAGATTGATTTGTTTTTATTATTAAAATTATATATCAATGAAAGATGTATGTACTTGTACAAATAATGCCATAGATTTATAGAAATGGAACTGGTCAATCAAATTGAATGCATTTGACCTCGGACAAAATACTATGACATCACTTTTAGAAAAGATTAAGGTTTTCTAAGCAGGTTTTTCTTGTCAACCAAGAAAAAAGCATGAAACAACAAAAGGGTAATCAATAACCGTAGTTAAACATGAAGCTAAGGGAGATTTGTGAGACATTACGAAAATGAGATGGCACAAAGGAGGGATTTGAGGAAATGTCGCACTGTGGCACTGACTGAAGTGAAACTGTTTTCTTCACAGCATTTGCTCTCAGGGGATTTATTTCTTCAATTCAGCTGAATACCAAGGTCTCAATTTTGGTGAGATTGCTAGGTTATATTGTCACATGCTCTTTTCCTTCAGAATACATAATTTTTAGGACTGTTTGCCTAGTGTTGGCCTTACCACTTCTCTAGCTACATGACGCTGGGATGGTGTTTTTATTTCACCTACTAGTCAATCTATCTTCCTAGAGCCTTGCAGGATGCATAATACAACAGGGGCACACAATAAAGACTCTTGGATTCGTTAATGACAGCTTTGTACTACCTGACTACTACTAAAGTTCAGTTTTCATTCTATTCTCCAGAGCCCATACTTCACTGTTGAAAAACGTTTCCTCTTTCCCCTTTCTAATTGATACCACTTATCTGCTCCCAAACTCCTGCTTTCTGTTACTCTAGGGTCTTATGCAGACATCTGAGAATGCTGTCACTGACAACAGGATATACCTGTCATCATTTCATGATTTCAGTTAACATTTTACCTACCTTTCTTTTTCTTACTTACTTCCAATTATTAACCTAAATATGATTCTCTTCATTCACCTATACCCACTCATGATTGTTCTAGTTCTTAAATTTTAATTGTTTATAGGCTTTTCAAGTTGTCATGCCAGACAGAAATTATAAGGTTACTAAGTCATATTTAAATTTTTTTAATATGTTCAATAAAATGCATTTC